AAAAAAAATATAGGATAAGTATTACATTGTGTTTTGACATTTATTTTACGTGAGTACCAGCTATATTTACAATTTAGGTGTTGTTGACTATTGTTACCTTGACATGATATTTTATTTTTTCATACCATATACGTACGTACGTCCAGGAATATCAGAACCCAATATGGTAGTAAAGACACTAACCTCTTCTAAATGCAATTGTTTTTAATTGAAACGGGATATTTATATTTTAATACTTTCTAAATAAAACCGTAACAGTATAACGTCCACAGCGGGTTTAATACTCTAAAACATTTGATGTTTATATATATCAGAGTGCTTCTATTATAGACTATAGTTGAAATATTCAGAGTTCATGTACATTATTTACTTAATTCAAACCATTTTTAAACTGAGTTTTTTAATATTGTTTTTGGTTCATAGGGGGATTTATGCCATCCTCTCATTTGTACACCAGTGCGAAACATGTATAATTTCACGCATTTAAAATATCCAAACCAAACTTAAATGAGTGGATGAACGAAATTAGATTAAGGGTCCCAACCGATTTAAATTCGAYAAGCTTAACAGTTCATATCAGTTTTCAAAAGTAAATATAATCGTATGACTGTGTTTATCGGTATGATTGATAAAAAATTGTAACATTTCGATTAAAATAATTTACTGTTTGCAATGAACAGTCACACGAATGTGCGTCTCGAAGACTAGTCGACATCGTATTGAATTTATCGTGGTAATTTAATTTCAGGTTGCCGGTAAAAGAGACCTGGATCAAGAAGCTGAAGCTCAACAATGGATCGAAGCCGTGACTGGTGAAAAGTTTGCACCAGGTAAATATATATTATTATATTGCGAAGTTATATTGAATGTTGGACATATGTCCGGTAATTACCAAAGTAAAATATATTGATACCTTGATAAACAAATACCTAACCCGGCTGCACTTGATTGTTGGTTTAGGTTTGCCATTCGAGCTAGCACTCAGGGACGGAATTTTATTATGCAAGCTGATGAACAAACTGTCACCAGGTATTATACCCAAAATTAATACTTCAGGCGGCGATTATAAAATGATGGACAATATTAGCCAGTACGTACAATAATTTTATTATTATTATATTGTCCGCTAAACGATTTTATATTCATCACGAAATAAAAAATATATTTTAATCTGGCTGGGATAAACGAGAGATTTTAATATATATATATTTTATTAATGATAAGGCTTCAACATCTTAGCCTATAATTTTAACAATGTGAACAGAAATAAAATTTACAGATATTTAAAATGTATGGTTTAAGTGTATGTAATGGAAAAATTTGAAAATTTGCTTCGCTGAGAGCAAGTCGAAGCTGAGGGAAGTTGTGTTTTTAAAAATTGACCGAGCTTTGGTGCATTTTGAGCATCTGTGGTCGTCGGTCGATCGATAGGTTTACGTGTTGTATACTGGAGCAGGTTCCTTAGTGATAAGGAAGGAGTGGATGAGGTGAGCGTAGCCTTATGGTTATAATGACCCTCTTCTTTTTAGGCTACAAAGAAAATTCCATTTTTTATGGAATGCTTGATGTTTCTTGATTTATTTGAGAGAGGAACGTTGTTTTTAATATTTTATTTAAAATTTTTAGTGTACCGAAAGAGGAATATAATACAGTAGAAATTAACTGATTCGTTTATTTATTTGAAATCAGTGAAAATGTGTTTTAATAAAACTACAATTATTGCAAAATAAATACTCAAATTACAATTAGGTAATTTTAAATGATATTTATCATATTCCTGGATAGTTATGCCATATTATTTAAAACCAAATTATTAATTGTGTATGTAATATGTATTACATAATATACAGGAAACACATTCTAATAGTATTGGTTTAACCGTTTGCCACAAGCATATATTCAATTAAAAATTTGTCAAATTCTTTTTTGTTATTAGCAAAATTATTTCAGTTTCTTTATTGGTATTTCTCCTTGTTTATTTGATGCGTTATAATCGTGTGGTTTAGTTTTTGTTCAAATTGGTGACATATTTTTTATACTTGACATATTTGCGGTATAGTTATTTACTACCTTAAAATATTTGTTTTACTAACAAAACTATTATTATTATTGATTTAGATAGACACCAATTTTAATTGTAGCCAACTTAAGCTGTGTAAATAAAGATGAGGAGGATAGATTATCAAATATATTGTGGAAAGTGAATACCTACGTATATGTTTGAGTATTTGTAAAAAAGAACTGAAAACTGCTAAAACCTGAATAATTCACTCATTATTCAGGTTATCGGTAGTTTCTCAATAAGCATTAAATTTTAGGTTCTCAATTTTTTGGCCTTGGATTTTGTGTCAATGAATATTCCTATTAAAATTGTTTAGTGCTCCTATTGTTCTAAAAATGAAAGTATAATAACAGTAATAATAAAATAAGTAGGTACTTAATAATAATTTCTAGGATACAAAATAAATTTTTATTTTAAGATTAGGGATTAAAGGTATAATAGTTGTGATAATATTATTATCCTTGTGTATAGTATGTTTGGTAATAAAATATCGTTATTGGTCTTAAACTATTTTTAACATTATATATAAATCAAAAACTCATAAACTTAATTACTATTCGGTTATATTGTACACATTTATTGATTGATCATCGTATATCAATGAGTTCTGTAAACTTAATGATTGTTATAAATTGATTTAAACAGCCATAAACATGAATTGTACGCCGTAAATGTCTACTGTTTTTAAACAAATATATACTTATGTATCACATGCACTTATATTATGGGGTCTTACGTATTAATTAATAACGATGCTTATTAAATTTGTCGTTTGTCTTTTGTAGATTTCAAAAGGCTTGTATTAAATACGGTGTCCCAGACGTCGATCTGTTCCAGTCTGTTGACTTGTTTGAACAAAAGAACATATATAGAGTGACTATGACGATATTCGCCATCGGAAGGACGGTACGTGACCTATAAAGTTAATTAATAGAAGAGAGAGCGAGAGAGAGAGAGTAGAGACAGACAGATGAGAGAGGGGTCATCTGAAGATCAACGTTATTAGAAAAAGATGTCATAAAACTTAGTACATCTCTGTCCATTAATGTCGAGAGATTATACTTTAGGTATACCATTAATGTACAGGTCATGAGTGTAAATTTGGGGGATTAGGAGAGCTTACCCCGAAACTCCTTAAGGTCCCAAATATTTTCTGACTTAACTCCTTAAAGTACCTATATAACCTAATATTATGTTCAACCTGTTAATTAATATTATTATAGCCTTTCAAGAACTTTCAACCATATTTATACCCATAAAATTGGCCGTCTTTTTCTAACAATGTTGAGAACTATGTGCCGTTTTTATGGAGGGTGGATGCATAGTTAATAATATAATATGTTTGTAACATGTACGTAACGAACATATTAACATAATATAACATGGTGGTCGATAGCAGAATATTTATACCAATCGATGGTTTTAGGCATACAAACACCCAGAGTGGAGAGGCCCAACCTTGGGACCAAGACCTTCCGAGGAGAACAAGCGTGATTTTACTGAAACGCAATTACGGGCCGGAGAGGGCGTCATTGGACTGCAAGCCGGACAAAACAAAGGTGCCACACAAGCCGGCCAGAACTTCGGAAACACCCGAAAGATATTGCTCGGAAAATGAGAGCGTAAACTCACAATCACCTATACTATACGTTTTTGTTGTAATTTAAAATTGATCTAACATTATTTTGTATGCGTTTTTGTTAATGTCGTTGATGCGTTTCATGTTCAACAACGATAATATACAATATATATAATTATTATACCATTTGTTTCACTATTGATGTCGTTCAAGAGAGAAGATGGATAAATTGTGTTTATAATTATTTAATAATAAGAAAAATGAAAAATAATAATCATTATATGTAATACAACATACTCAATGCTCTTATAGAATCTGAGCATCACTACAACTTTATTGCAACAATATAAGTACAAAAGTCGTAACAGCCAACGACAGTACACTACATATTATATTAATTATGTGTTGAGACTTGAGGTAAAAGAATACAATTTTTAATGGAAAATAATATACATATTAAATAGTTTAAATATCTAAAAACTGTTAAGATTAAAAAAATAAATATTGTATAATGTTGACACGGAAAATAAAATAAATGTTTTCGTTGTGACAATAATTTATATAATTATGTCATTACACTATATTATATTATTATAATACGTTAAAAGGTTTGGTATATTTTAGTTATCCACATTTACAGCATAATTATTATTACAATATAATTTAAATGCTTTTACTGAAAACAAACTGATTAACTACGAGCTTGAGACTACACACAACACATGCAATGCATACATTAAAAATAATTTTACACTTATATTAAGTTTCATAACAATAAAAGTTGGAAATGATAATACCTATAAATAGTATTATTTTTGTGGAAACGTCATGTGTACCATAATATATGCGTGCATCAATAAAATGTATTTAATAACTTTGTATTTTATATTATTACATAGAAATATACATTAGAAATATAGTTGTGTCGGATAGTTATCATGGGTGCAATATTATTGAAATATGAAAAATTCTATTATTATTTTACAATACTATTAGTAGACAATTCTTAATAGTAATGAATCACGAAATTTATAAAAGCAAAATGTCTTTACGTTACTTTCATTCGTTTATTCTACTTTTAGGATTATATTTGTTATTCTTTTGATATTCGTTTCAGTTTTCACAAATTATATTTAAAACGGACGTATTTGAAACGGACAAAACGAATTGACTAGGCAAAAAGCACCAAAATGTGTCACTAAAATTGGCAAATTACATCTATCATAATATATTATATATTATTTTGAGCATTTTTATGAAATTTAATAATACTTTTGTTGTGAAAATATAAACAGAAMGGCATAAATGTTAACAATACTAAGGTAACATCTGAAACTCATATCTATTGATTGTCACTCAGTGTCAAAAATTGTATATCTACTTTAAGATGTATTATTAATAAGTTTATTTTATTTCGATACCTTATTATGTGTATTATTATCATTATTTCGATAACACTCAAAAATGTTCTAAGTAAACCCATATCAATTTGGACGACGATATGGTTTGCAGTACACAAGTTGTACATTATATTTTTATATTATGCCATCATGCCATTGTATATTATCTAAATAAAAACCAACTCTGCTTGTATAACTAAGTAAATAAATGTTTGATGAAATCCCATATCTAAAGCGGTAATGCGCCCAAATTATGTACATCGCAGATTATTATAGTTGTTCTGTTAATCTGCAGATAGTGGGTGGTGATAATAATAATAATAATAATAGTAAAATACATTTTGGAGCAATACATATTTTAGTTTCGAGCAGCAACCAAAAATCAATTACGATTATTATTCAGAGCCGTCCTTCTTCTGGTTGTCGGAGGCGATCTTTTTGTTTCGATTTGCTTCCATTATCAGGTCAGCTATCGGCGTCGTGGACGGGACCAATGGTTTGGCCGTCATAGGTGTCGTGCGATCTTTTGCCGCTGCGGTTGTGGTCACCGCTGGAGTGGGCGTGGCCGTAGTTACAGTGATGGGTTTTACCGACGTTGCCGCTGCAGTGGTCAGTGACGTCTTGGCCATCGTTGCCGGTGACACTGAAGTTGTGGGTGTTATTGATGGCTTGGATGAAGTTGCTTGCCCGGGTTTGACGGATGTGGGCGTCACGACAGTGGTGGTGGTGGTGGTGGTGGGGGTGGCCGCCGCGGTGGAGGTAGTGACGGGAGTATCTGTGGTCTTGGATGGTCGAGCAGTAACTGTTGTAGCCCGGCTGCTGGGTGTTGATGTTTTAGATGCCTGCACACTAGTTGAAGTCAAAGCCATTGGGGTGATGGTTGGATGCTTCGTAGTAGTCGGAGTGGTCACTGTGGTATAAGTGGTAGTGCGTGCGGTCGTACGGTCATCCGTTGTCACGTTTGAGCCGCGTACAGTTGTGACTTTAGTTGTCGTCGTCATCGGTTTTGCTGTCGAACCGCTGACAACTGGTGGCCTACCATTTCTCATCATATTAGTTTGGCCCATATTAGTCATCGTATTCATTTGGGCCATTTTGGTCATCGTCGCTGGGTCGGTATTGACAGTGTCTTTCAACGGTGTGGGGTCGCGATCACTCGAGTCGGGACTGTTGTCACTCGCCCTGTGCTTGGAATTAGAATCTTTGTCCTTATCGGTTTTCTTGTTGGGTTTTTTCATGTTGCGCACCACATTTCCGGTCGACTTCACCGGCGTTCGTTTGATCTTAGTCGGGATCGTCGCGATTCTCGGCTTTGACAGCACTTCCTCCGCCTTTGTCGACCGAGTCGCAGCGGGTGTTCCTTCCGTCGTCACGTCTCTGGTAAATGTGGAAGTAGTGGCGGCTTGAGTCGACGGTTTCTCAGTGTTGCTCAACGTAGTCGGTACAACTGTCGTTTTATCCGTCGTAGTCGATTCGCAGTGGTCGTTACATTTGCATGGGTCGTTGTTATCCGCGGGAAAGCCTTAATTAAAAATTTGTATATTATGATATAATACTATTACGCATCATCCTCGGTCATATTATATTGATATATGAAGGTACTTACCGTTGGAATCGTTGGTTATCCAGTCTGCAATTTGCATGTCAGTCAACCCTTCGGCCAACGGGTTCTGTTCTTCATCTACGTGGAATAATTTATACGAACTCTGGTCAGGTCTGGACACAACGTACACTTTTGCTACAGCTGGTCGTAGACCGGTCACTTTTTGAATGCTCTTGGCCGTGTATGATACGCAAACGATGCAGTTACTTTTCACCTACGGGTTTTTGACAATTTATATTTATTGTAAATCTGTACGCATACTCTCGATCGGCTATTAGATATGTTAGCAATTAGTGTTGTACTTACCTTAGCGAAGACAAACCAAATATGATTGGAATGTGAGTCGTGATGGACATTTGATACGCTAGCAGACGAAATCTTGTCAAAGTAATACCCCGAAAATAGTTTTATTTCTAGTCTAATAGCATCTTCCGTTTCGTTGTTCATCCTACACAATTGTAATACGAATAAAACATTACAGTTACTCGATTTTAAATTACTGTATAACATACCTAAAGCATGTTTTTAGTCTTAATGTTATCGCATGACCATATATTTCATCTGTAAAACCTTTACTCGGTTGAATAACGTCAGTGACTCCTGACCATAGATCAAACGGTTTTTTATCATTTTCTGCCGTAGTATAGGTAGAATACAAAACTCTCCCCTAAACATAAATAAATACTATTAAAAATAACACCAATTTATTTATTTTTCTTAAATGTATGGTTTAAATAAATATAAATCTTGTTGTATGAACATTTATATATTAAATTATATTGGCCATATATTTTAAATCTAATTTATATACTTATGTAATATGTTTTAATTAAACTATAAGTTATTTATTTATTGAAAATTAATACTGAGATGGCTAATAGGCTTACTAAACATTTCAAAAAAGAAAAATCAATAATAGCTTCATAAAAGAAATACTTATCAAGGCTTAAATCAAAATAGCATACTATTAGGTGTGTATTCTTTATAAAAGAAATAAAAGAACGTATTTATAGGTTTTTGGGTATAGTAAAGTGAGAAAATATTATGTAGTATGCTATATTTCGTTAAAAATTTAATTTAATTTTTTTTTTAAATTTTTATTGTAGATTTGCATTTCTATGGAAATAAAAAAATTGTTATAACAATCGGCCTCGCATAATTCAGTTGAAAAAAAGGTTTTTACCAGCCCAAAATTACATCTATGAAAAAACAAATGTATCTGTAAGCTGTATTATATAACCCGTTGACGTATAATAGCTGTTTAAAAATGTTTATATTTTGTTTAGAAAAATATGGAATCGACTGATTAGATTTAAGAAAAATTAGGTAGTATTTAAATTTATTTTGAGAGAACCGAAGAAAAATGTTTTGGTATGTAGATATGTAATTCTAATGTTATTTAGAACTTAAATTAAAATATATTAAATATATTTTATGTTATTTAAGAAACTAAGAAGCACGAACTTGTATTGTTGAGCATCCAGCTCCGGTAGCGTAGACAAATACTTTTGTTGGCAAAGAAGGTAAATGTAAGTATTGAGATTTTGTACTGGGGTCAAGTTCTAACGTATCGGTCAATTCCATACCAGAAGTAGCCAGGGAAATTGTTAATTTCCGGTGAGGATCCGATCCAATTTTATCATACATAGCAAATGCTTTCACAGCTAGATACGCTAACTATAATGGAAAAAAGAATAGTTAACCATGTGATATATTTTGAAATTTCACAATGTGATACATACCTCGGGATATATATCCAAGATTTTAGTTCTATAGTATAGATAACGAACTATGGGTTCGGATGATTTCAATTCTCGTTTTGCCGAGTAGATCATTAAACAATACAATGAAGCTTTGAATTCGTCAATCGAAACTATAACATAGTATAGGGGTTTAATAATATGACTGTAGTTAAATACTTAATACTATTTATATCACTCACTGTTTTCACCTTTTTTTTGTGGAACTACATCGTCGTACCAATCAGACGTAGGATGTACTTTGGGCCATCCAAATTCACTTTCTTGGTTTGTCGAAAGAGATTGTAATTTTGTTTGAGCTTTTTTGGTGAAGTAGCTATTCGAAATCATCAGCGCATAGGTAGTTATAGCAAGTGGGTATGGTTTGACAATATTATGTAAATGTTGTTCGAGATAGGATTTGGTGTGATTTGCAATTTTTKAATCAATCTGTTGAAATTAAGTTTAAAAAAAAAAATGTATACATTTACTGACAGAGTTATTGGTTACATAAAGTTATATAATATATAAATTTAATAAATTAAATTAGATATTAAAATGTTAGTTTTTTAAATTGAACATACTTCAGATTCTATGCCTAATTCCATTAGAGTGGCCAAAGTGTCGGCAGCGCATATTATTTGGTTTATTTCCATGTCAGATTGACCAACAACAGTTGAGAAATCTTCGAAAACCTGCTTTTGGATCCACGTTTTTAGCCCTTTGATTAGATCTGAATCCACACCGACGTGAGACTGACTTCTCCATAATATTTCGAGAACGCGAAGGTCACACCTAAAAGTTAACAAGAATATAAAATAATGTATGGTGAGCTAGGTACTTTTATACCTTACCAGTAACACGGTACGTTTGGATGGTCTCCGAACGACCCATCGGGATTTTGGTAGGAAAGGAGTACTGGTATGCTCTTCGATAATAAATCTACCAGTGATTTTTCTTCGGTGCCGTTATTATTATGTTCAGACATGAGAAGTGGCGTGAAAGTTGATAGGAATGATACCAAACTTAACAAATAATAATATCAACATAAATAATGTACGGATCAGAAAAATATTAATGCATACCTCGTAGAAAATTTCGGTTCATTCTGCACGAAAAATGGGAAGTTTAAACCTCCAGTTACAACCAAAGTGCCAGATTCGGATCCCGATATCATTGTATTGGGTGTTTCTAAGTGCAGTACTTGTGAGAAGCCAGCTTCGTCGTTGTAATTCCACACTCTAAACTGCCCTGTGGTTCCAAGAATGGTGGCGAAACCGATATGGTTAATTTTTATTTTTTTGTCCATATTCCATTTCAGCAACGGGTACTGATGGATTTCCTGACCGTAACCAAATGCCAATACTCCTTTCTCCCAACTGATCCAAAACGTGCGGGGTTCTTCTTCAGATAAAATTCCGGGAGTGTTGCGACTCGTCAAATGTACACCATTTCCTGAAGTTACGTAAACAATGAACCACATTATGGTTAAACCATCATAGTATAAATATTATTACGGTCACCGATCTAGTAAGTTTTTAGAACAAAATATATATTTACCATGTTTTCCGCGACCTATCCACGAAATCGTATTATCCAAGTCACCTAATACAATCTGGTACATCAGCGTGGTCGGTTTGCGTTCTTGACTTAGCAAAATATGAGCGCTTTTTTTCGCTTGTATTTCGAATACAATACCGTCTCGGTTTTTAGGCGCGTTTATGTGTTGGTACCGGAAATCTGATGTTGTTGACACGATGAGTTGTTCTGTAGATCGATTGAAATTTAGTGAACAGTTGTTATAGTAAATTTTTAATAAAAATAAAACAGTCGTCACCATTGGCGCAGAAATAAGCGTTATCGGTGGTCTGATGTTGAATGCCTTCTGGGTGCACGTAGATCGGTACGGATTTTACGACGATACTTGCGGTGGAATTACTCAACTCAAGTTCTTCCGATTTTTTGCTATCGTTTATCAAGTGACATTTTTCACTCACGTAACCCGATATATCCACTGTAAAAATTACTATTTTAAGTGTGTTTTTATAATATGATGCATTTATGAATAGTATAATATTATTATGATTGCATATAATTGAGTGAAATAAATTATTTCGCTCGATGGAAATGTTTGGTTTAATTACCGGTAAGATTTTTTAATCCTTCTTTCAGCGCTGTAATTCTAACGATTAATGACGTGGCACCGTAAGCACCTAATCTCATTTTTTCTGCGACAAACGGTTGATTGGAACTGCTAAATACAGCGCCTTCGCTCAATGACAAGAGTGCATTCACCTACATGAAACAGTTTTTATTTATTTATTATTAATCCTATTCAACATTTTATCAAATAATATGACTATTAGCCATATAGGTATTTAAATATATCCAATCCTTACGTCCATGCAAGAATTGACGTTATTAGCAATGTAAATATCGGTTTGGACTGTCTCGCCGACGTTTATCTCGACTGGTGTACGAACATCTACTTCTAAAGTACTAGTGACTTTGATGTCTAATGTGTCTGTTATTTTAAGTCCACTGCTACCAACAGTTAACAAGCGCAATTTCCAATGGCCAGCTTTATTCGGTGCACGAATATTCATACCTTTTTTCATGACATTGCTCCTGTTACGTTTAAGGAGTTAACTGTTAAAAATTAATTTATGGAAAAAGACATCGTTTCTTAAAATAAAGTTTTTTAGGTATTTCTATATTTAATTTTTAAAATGATTTATCGGTGTCAGATCACATTTTTAATGGTTTTTTCCGTAAATAAAGTTCGTAAATTAAATTTTTATAATATTCATAAATTTATTGAGATTTTTGTTTTAAACTACTACCAACGTCTGTTGATATGATTAAACTAAATATTTCATTCAATCTTTTAAAGTTCACCTAAGTGGCTGTTGTGTATGGCTATATTAATCGTGACCACCTGGTTATTCTCAAAAACATTTTAAACTTAAAAATGACTGTAATGAAAGTTTTCCTAGCATCTCATCATAAAACTGACTGCTGTGGTTTTAAACACTTTGCAAACAACAATATTCATATTTTTCTGTTAGGAAGTTGGAACATTATTTTTTTGTTATATTTTATGCATAATGCATTTGAAAGTAGCAAAAGAACTTTTTCATTATAATTAAGCGTTGATTACAAATTATACACTGTTGTTGTCTGTTGATAAATTATTATTTAAAAATATTAATATTGTTACTATTTTTTTTATCAATTTTACAATACCTAATAATAATAAGGGCTATTGGATTTGATTAAACTTTTTATTGTAATTGGATACAGATTAAAAATAGCAAAGTTTATGCATCAAGGACTCAAAGTATAACATTTTATATCGCAAGTAATTATAAGAATTTTAGACTTTTAAGCTCTATTTTGTTTATTAATATATTATAAAACTTGATTTATTATTTCTTTTATATAAATCTCAAAATTTGCACGAAAATAATAAAAACATGTGTATGTGAATAGATACGTAAAATTCTACCATTTCATTACATTATATCAATGACTTCATTCATGTTTAACTATTTTTTTTTTATGATTCATTTTTTATATTTTTAATATAAGATAATTGAAACCGAATAATGAAAACATTTTTATTTTCGCTATTTTTTATGTGTCATAGTGCATATTTTTAATTTTTCAGTTAATAGTATTATTGGCAAGTAGTGAATATTTTAATTATTTTTAGCGTTAAAAGTACAAACCCCGAGTTATAATTTAATATTAGTATATTAAATTACATTAAATATTTTATTTTATTTGGAAAATATTTTTATAACGAATACTTACGTAAAGTTTACGCATTTCCATGTCCATAGTTGATCCATCGAAAATGTATCCAAAAAGCTATGATGTTTTGGATATAGATCGCTTTGTCTTGAAGTTGTAACTTTACCATCTAAACGTTTTTCAAGGAATAATAATCCGGATTCAAGAAGGTCAGTGTCATCGTCCATGTTTCTATTGTTGAGAATTTTACTTGAATAAGAACACAGTTTTAACATTAGAGAACTATTGTAAGACTGACCTTAATGGAGATATGTTTTCCGTTCCTCTTCCTCCAATTAAGCACACTAATGAGTTTTCTTCGGCCATTACATTTAGTTCCATCAATTCTTCCGGATACCAATTATTTTTATCATCCTTTAAACTTATTTTCACCTAATTTAAACGAACATCTCTGGATTATGATTGTTCATCATTCAATTTTTTTCATTTAATAAGATCTTACCTTTGGATCGGTTTGTTTGACATTGAAACTAATTACATCATTTATTGTTTCTCCTTTCTCAGTGGTATAATAAACCAACAAGTGACTAGTAGGTGCCATCACGGGGTCTACGTTGAATCTATATTACAGTCATATTGATAAATAAACAAATAAATAAATATTGAGTAAAATACATGAGTATGTGTGATTGGTTTTATTTTAACGAAGTGACATACGTTAAGTTGAATCGACAAATGTCCACTTGGTCCATGATTTTTGTCATGTGGACAACTGGCTTATATTTTTGCCAAATAGCCACGTGCCCCTCGGTGGTCACGACATAGTTAACGTATCGATTGCAAGGACACGATGATAGCACAACCACTTCTGCTTCTTCGTTTGCCTAATGACCATTTTATTAATTATACAATTGAAGAGTATATAAAATATTATATATAATTAATATTAATATTTAAAATCTCTTAAAATATAACATATTATTGTATTAGTTCAGTAATTATTTATTACCGTTAAAGTATGTTCTATTCCTTCGACCAATAAGTAACAATCTGATGTGGAGTTCCATTTTTGTATAAATTCTTTGGCTAATACATAGTGTCCTTCGATTTCTTTTCCTTCAACGGATACTAATTCAGCCTGTTTTAAAAGTATATAAAATATATAGTCCAATTTTATAATGTTGTAATTAATAAATGTATTTGCAGTGTATTTTTTATTTACATCTTTTTAATATTTTTTAATGATTTCAATTAATTAAATATTTCAATTTTTTTTATGTATTTTAGAAGTAAATGTTATTTGATATAAATATTAACAATTTATGTTATTTGTAAATTAAATCAACAATTGCAGTAGACCGTATACTATCAAATAGTTTGAAAACTAAAAATAAACAACCAACAAATCATAAAAATAAATAATTTAGAATACTTTAATTATTTTACTTACTTGGAGTACAATTATTTCATTGTCAGATAACATAGCTGGAACAACGAAGGTTCCTTCGCCTTGAATTATTTCAACATCTTGGCTATATATTGTAGTGGAGTTGTCAAATACCTTAACGCGGACTCGAAGATTCTTTTCCGAACTCATAGCTTCTACCTGTGAATACATAAAATACTTCTAAAATTAAAAACAAAGCTCAAATTGTATTGCTTGACCTATAACCACATTGATTGAAATTTATTACTTTGGAATTCAATCGATATCCATTAAATGTTTCACAGATGCATGCTTATTATTATAATTTTCGATAAAAAAATTCTCTGTACCTAGACAATTAAATTGGAAAAATTATATTTAAAACACTAACTTTTCCAAGGAAAGGTAACCCAGGCTTGTATTTATGTCTCATCTCGTGTCCAAATCGTAACTCTACGAAGTGTTCCTCGGTTATCGTCTGTTCTCGTTTTGGTGGATCAGTGGAACCTCGTGTATTGCTCACATTCACGGCGGTCTTGAATGTCACTCCTTCGGAGGCTACCTCAACTGTCCATTCTCCGACGACAGCCAACTCGGATAACATGAAACGGAACGGAGTGTTGCGGCTCGACGGGACGTCATCCCAAAGTGCGACACGTGTTCCCTTAGGGTTTTTGATGTAAACGTCCATAGTGACATCCTCGGCAATACGAAGGTAATGGTCCAGTGGTAGAAGCCAAAATTCAACTGAAAAATTGATAAATAATACATCAAAACACGTGCATGATGCTTTCAATAAATTATGACAATATACATAGGTGTATAGGAGATGATCTTATGTCGTATATAAATCGTTAAATCTTAAATGTATCTACGGATTTTTTCACTATATTCATTGAATAAAAATCTTTAATGGTATATCAATAATTTACTTAATATATTTTGTTTATGCTTAGTCTCATTTCGAGTTTTAAACGTCTGATATCATAATATGAAATACGAGGTTTGAATTAAATTGTTTTTATTAAGTTTATATTTAAATGTTCGTAGTTAAATAATATGTATTGGTAGTGCATTTCAGTTTATTCAAAACGATTTTTATGTTATCACACTATTGCAGGGTCGGTAATAGATTGCTATAATTTATGCGCTCATGTCTTTTACTGACTTATTTATTTTTATTTCGGAAGTGCTTCTCCCCCTAATCAATTACTTGTATAATGTATATTCTAACCATGCTCAGATTACTTTAAGTAAGAATCATGATTTTTGTTCAGTGTTTTTTTTTTTTTTTTTTTTGAAACGTTTAAGATGTCCTGAAAATAAACTTTCTCAAATAATTTTTTTTTTGTAAGTGTTCTTGAATATATATGGCATATTGATTACTATTTATTGATGGCCAGTCATTTTTATATGAAATAAGTCGCAATATTTATGAATAAATCGCGAATTATATGGATTTTCATATCTGCATATGCATATGCCTATAATCGCCTTTTCGACTAGGTATGTATATTTCATTGATTCGTAATATAAATGGCATAAAATCGTATTTTTATGCACGCAAACATACTGGTTAGATGTGTTTAAACCAATATACCCAGACCAGTCGAAGTAATTGACCGGACAAGTTTTTACAGCTGTCTTTATTTATAATCTCGATTACTGAACGAAAATCCTGGCTTTGATTCCTTAAGTATGATCGAGGTTTACATTAATGATACAAGTACTTCACCGTCCAATAAAATAACGAGTGGCATGGCTTCTAAGTTAAAATATTGTCCTGTGACGTCTGTTGACGGTTTAACGGCCATTTTCTATATTTAAACTAATTTTGATGATATAGGCAACATTTAATAATAAACTGCAATGATAGTTTTAGTTCTAAATAAGTATTTTCTATCATAGTGAATTTATTGTATTTGTTTTTAACTTCATTGTTAGTGGATATTTATAACATTATCCATGCATATTTCACTCTCGTCACTTATTCAGCAAATTTGCATATATATCATATAGTTTTTTCATTACATACAATTCGTGATTTATTTATAAGCTATTAAAAATTGATAGATTATTAATTCACATATCCTTAAATTTAATATTATTGAGTATAGAACATATTTTATACTCAATGATAATATATTTGATATTAAAATGTGTTATGTGAACTTTATTTAGAAATAAAAAGTTTGGAATTAAGTGAACATTTAAATACCAAAAAAGTTCCTAGAATGTCTTTCATGAAGTATCGCGAATAAATAATTTTTTGTATATTAAATTAATTTTTAATGAATCTGATTTATAGACAAGTTTTTATTCAATTTGCATGGTTTAATTATAGTGTAAACAGACTTTATAGCTAAATAACTCTAAGACAATTGTCTTGAATAAAACAAAGTATAATTAATTATATGAACTTTGGCACTGATTAGTGAATTTGTAGTTGTTAAAGATACMATGTATATACTTTGAAAACTTGTTCATTATATTATTGTACTGACAACTTTATGAAATTAGTGATATAGTAAATACCCAAAACACAGAATATGTATATAATATAATATGAATAAATTATAAAATAATTATTTAATGGAAAATATCTTTACATGGTCGTTTGCGTTTTTGTTATTATGTTCATTGCACATATGTATTGCACCCGTGCTAATAATAATAATAATATTATTTAGCTAACTATTGTATTATATTTCCATGTATAAATGGAAATATTGGAGTACAGAAATAGGAGATATATATATGTATAATAGTTTTATGTAGTTTTTCGTAACTTTTTGTCTTGTTTAGTTCGTGCCTGATGAAAGATAATTTATTTAACTACTCCTATACCAGTCATATTGTAAAATGTTAATTTTTGAAAGTAATGTTACATATATAAATAGGAAAAACAAAATAAACAATAAAAACTAAATACATTTCATTATCAATGAAAATCACAGCCATCGGAATAGATTGATTTTAACTTGGTTGTTACATGGCCGGCGCATAATATAGTCTCAGTCAATTAAAAAAAAATTTTCACAACAAGATTATATAATATCTGTTTCAGCTTATTTTAAACTTAAATATTGTTTTGCCAAATGTTTATATTGTTATCGTCATTATTATTATCATATAATTATCAATTGTCACCATGTTCACAAACATATTATGCTGTGATATGAATTAGGATAGTTGGTTATGTTTTTTGTTGTAGCATCAAGCAGTAATTGTTTTTGTCATATAATGTACATCTCTTGTATTCTTTTTTTGTCAGGACACACATAAAATAAATACAGTCCACTAGATGAAACAAAAAAGTCCATCGTACGTTTTTTTCATACACGTCAAATATTATGTTACAATATAACACGAAAAATTGACATTCAGAGTAATCGAATTGGCTGGTTGTTGCTCTTATTTGAGACAAAATATACATACGCACTCGCGAATGACAAGATAAAAAATAAATGATTTTATATAAACATTTTTAAGAAAATGATGCGTTGTACAGAAGGTGTGTTTGACGCATAGAAATTCCACGAAGAGTGACAGAAGGAATATATCACGGTAACTCACTATCGGGTTTTTATCTCTACCTCGGTATAAAGTCAACCGTCTTGATCGCAGCTTAAATTTGGTGACTTCGATCTTTTTTATGTATTATTCTTTATTATGTAGGTATATTATATCTAGCCATGGATAAGTTTTAACGGAAAATGATGATGGCCAAGCGTTTCACGCGTTTCCGAATTCACAAGATCGTTTAATTATGAAATTCGAAGTGTCTTAGAAAAAAAAAAAACTGTTTTTATGTCATATTTCACAAGCAGTAGGGGGCTAAAATTAAATGTTAAATAACGAAATATCACATTTAAATATACCTACATTKTTACGAGCTGATGGCGTGGAATTTTAGGGTTACACCCACATATAACTTCACCTAAATTAATCACAGATTTTCCACAGGTATAGATAGTAAATACATATGTTTATACAACCATGATTGACTTTATTTAGTAGTTTTTTTCATTATATCATAATATGCAAGTGGATTTTTTTAAAATCCAATTTCAACCTAGCAATTTATTTATTTATTTTTTTTTTGTAAGAGGAACCTGCGGCAACATAGGCCATTGGGTATATGGGGTGGTACGATAGGGGTTATTTTTGTGTTTTTGTTTGTAGGTTTTTAAGTGGGTAAGGTTGTAACATGTGTTTGTGTATGTATGGCAAGGATATGTCGCTAAAAATTCCGGTGGTCACCCATACAGGACCTAGTAACTGCGGCCGGTACGTACGCTCAGTGCGTTTCAGCAGATTGAGCGTCCGACCATGCCTCACCAAGTCACTAGCAATTTATTGTACTAATCTCAAAGTGAATTTCATGAACTCTAAGTCGTTTTTTAAAACAATATACAATAAATAACTCGAATTATTATATTATTATTTATAATATGGCCCTCCTGGAAATGTTCAGTAGAGGTTTATTACATAAAATATAATTTAAAACTAGAAGAAAAAAAAAAACGTTATTTAAGCTATTCCCGAACTTCTAGCTCCAGTGATCTCTGAAAGTGAAATTTAGGTCAGCCTAATGAATTAGCGTAAGCCGAGAACTAAAAATAGCCATTTTATTTTGTCTAAACTGACTTAGAATGTATTTTAATATTTATACGTCTCTTTTTCCATGAAAATTGATTGACGATTTTTTTTCACGAAAATGTGTTTTGTGCATATTGTATATAGGTACAGAATTTTATTACGATCGGAGTAAACTTCTTTATCATTGTTATTTGGCTTTCTAAACTTAATTTTCGTTCACGTGAATTTATATATTCTTTTTAATAATGAAATTTTAAATTTTGGGTATAGATATGCATGCAAAATAAATGTGGTGTATACAGTATAATTATTTACAGTTAAGAATGTAATAATAAATTATAATCGGTTTGGATGATCAATGTTATAATAAGATATTCGTATTTTAATTTTTCGTACATTTGATAAATACATAATAATGACAAATATTTTTAAACATAACATAAAATAATGAATATTGATTAGTCTAGAGAGTAGATAGACATTCCGCTCAATTAAAAACAAAATAAATGCATTATATCTTTATACTCGTAAATTAAATTAAATATTAGCCAATAAAAATTGATCACAAAAATGAACAAAACTATACCAAACATTATATTTGGCGAAAAGTCATGATAGAACTATAATAGTTCTTATACTATTCTTCCATAAAATGCGGATGCATTACATTTGTAAAATCATCACAGTGTAAAATGAATTTATATATATTACATACATATTTTTTACTGTTAAAATAAAGTATTAAAAATCGGGTAGTTTTTAAAATTTATTTGATGACCAGAATAATATTCTTCAGTGTAATTATAAAAATGTTTTGAATATCGTGTTACCATATATTTTGGAACCAAATCTCCAGTATTAAAGCAATGATTACTACATCAGAGAGTAAATATAAAAGTTATAACTTATAATACTAATTATGGTCAATTTAATTAGTAGATTCTCAAGAAAGCCACTTTTTAAGTATGAATAGAATTTTTTGTTGAATACGATTAAAGCTGATAAAAAATAAAATAAAAGTCTCCATTATACCCATTAAAATTGGAATCACGCATAGCATTCTCATTTGTTTGGGGCTTATAGAATTGGCACCCCACGGGCATAGGACAAACAAATGTCAGATGCTTTTGAACATTGTGCCCGGAGCAATCTCTTATATACAAAAGCCGCTCTAATAATCTTTAAGGATATACATGATACCCGTTTACTGTTTTCTTTATTTAACATAGTAAACGTTTTTGTTTTTATATCTGGGAATCGAGCCAAAAACGAGCAAGAGAGAGAGAGAGAGTGAGAGAGAGTCACATGAACGATTATTTGAATTCATTCAAATAAACAGCGGATTATACCAAAATCCTATAAGGAAGATAGTTTAACAAAAATATTATAGCCTGAAAAAATATTTGTTCCTTTTTTTTAGATTTCAGTAGTTACCTCCATGTAACACAATTCGTAGGATTTAACTGGGCATTACAGAAGAACACAATATGAAAAAAATACATTTTACTTCATGTGAAATTCATAACATGAGATGAGATTTTCAGACTCACACACATACATACACTTTAAAATATAAATTATATAAAGAACGAATTGTTAAAGTATGTGTAGGGTAATTCAAAGCTATTTTGTTTTACTTACATTGTGTTTCAAGCGAGCTTATATACTTTATTCAAATGTATTTTAAATACCATACGAAGTATACTTTATTACCACAGAAATATTTTTTAGTATTTCACCGCCTGTCAGTCTTTGATTAATATAATATAAGCACATTCATAATTGTACTTATATTGTGTTTCCTATTATATTAAAAATGTAACTTCTTGTTCATAAATTTAAATAATTTTGGATCATTGTGTAAATTGTGATGGTGCATATTTTTTCTTTCTTAAAAATATAACTCAATACGTTTGTGTTTTTAATATTTGATGATTGAATGCAACAAAATATTCAAAGAAAATAATTACTATATTTTAATTTTAAATAAAAATATAAAAATATCAGGTGTTAAATTTGAATTCCATGATAAATAATGCGATGAAAAAAAAAATGTTGTACAAAGACATTCTAACTATTTATTTACCAAGGTTATTAAATAGTTATTTTGTTAATAATATTAACATTTTTTTTAGTATTTATCAAATTTTAAATAGTTTGTGAATTTTTAATTTAGGATTTAAAAATCATCAATTTGATTCAATTTAATATAATATATGTACATTAATATATTAAATTTGATGATCTGAGTAATTTTTCAAGCATAAAGAGTTACTCCAAACACAAAATAATTGTGAATGCAACTAGATATTTTTCATCTGATGAATATTTAGAAATAATTTCATAATTATTATGATACGTTTTTATTTTTATTGTTGATTTGTGTTTCTATGATGATAAATAAAGCGATATAATAACTAGGTTAGAAAAAAAACTGTATCTATCCTAAAAAAACATAATTATCTTAAAAAACTTTGCTTGACTAGGATACTGAAATTTTAATTTGAAATAGATTTAGATATAGATAAATATAAATAATACAATAAGTAAATGAATTAAATAAAGTTAAGATTTTAGTAAAATAGTTACACATTTAACCTATTAATTACCTATGAATTAATATTACGCCTATGATTTTTATAATAATTTGATAATGTTGTGTGGTCGAAAATAAAATATTTAAGTTGTTTTATGATGTTATTATCAATAAGCCACTCACTAGTTTCTCCGGGCTTATAGAACTTGCTGGAAGTCTGTACGACTACGTCACGCACCGATCCGACCAATCGCAATCGAGACGTGGTCTGAAGCGTGCAATTTGTTGTGCCGTTCACGCAGTCAGTTAGCGTTTGGAGGTAACACGTGTCTGGCGTCTGTGTAGGCACCGTCAGTGGGATAATTCCGTCACCTGTAACATACAATATTGTGATTCACTTTGTAAAGTACAGAATTCATGTTTTGTGAACTAAATGAACCTATAAAGTTATGTTATATTGTTTTATACCAATGTGCATTTTTTAATGTAATATAAACATAATAATTTGATATCTTCAAAAATGTTAATCATAACTATGGTACAAGATATAAACGTTATATAAATATAGTACCAAATTAGATGAGCACTATTAGATCACAATAATCAACCATATAGTAGCAGTTTTATGTAAAAATAGAATATTTATTTATATAATTTTAAAACATTTTGATTTCAAATTGTTATTAATTTCTTTTTTATTATTATTATTTATACAATTTAGATTTGGATATAATTCTAATAAAATTACTTTGCCTGTTTTTTATTTATAAAATAGTTAGACAAATCAAAATATTAAAATTTACATTTTATATTATATAATTTTAACATAAATCTTGATTTTATTTATAACTTAATTCTTCCATTATAACCAGAAATTATCGAGAATGGTGTAGCCTGTATACTTATATCTATTATTAATTTATGATTATATATTTGCATGCTTAAAATAAAGTCTCATTAATTTTTTTTTTATAGTTTCGTAGCTGTACGAAAATTTTTTGCGTGGTTTGGCAGCCTACATAAAAGTGACAAAATCCGCAATGTTTCAAAAATTGATCTATAACCTTTGCGATATCGTTGTCATTTTATATTACAAATTATCTACATATTTTGTGATCTAGATTGAGCAACAACATATTGTTTTTATTTGGCCCAAGGTGGGGTTTCCAATATCGGAGATCCATTCTATCCCTGATTCTGCCATGATGTTTATTTTTAGGTTTATTCGGTCACCGGTTAAGTGAAACTGCAGACGGTAAATTTCAATCTTAAGATGTTATGTTATTGTTGGCTTAGAGGAGTGAGGCTGGTGGGAATAAGTCTTCTGTTATAGACGGTATTGAACCAGGATTCATTATATACCGTGCCACCAATCTTTACATAATTGTGCACTGCGTCTCTTTTTAATATTTTATCCCAATTCTTATGGGTCGTCAATTATAACAACCACGTATGTATGACATATTTTATGTGGACTACTAGAATTATGTATATTGCTATAAAATAATATTCAGCTAAATATGTCAGTAACTTTAAATGTATGTAGACACTAGACATATAACAATATTAGGTTCAAAAATTAATGAAATCAATTAAAAATACGAGCTAATCAAAAACAATTTTCGAATCAACAAAATTGAATACTAAATGTAATTTTCATTAAGCGTACGAGCTGATTTCKTAAGGTTTATTTATATCGTTAAATCATTGGATGTGTCTTCAAACTTTTAAGACTTCAATTGCATCTTTTAAAAACTTGTTTACATTTGAATAATTTGATTCACATTCAAGGTAGATTTGCTGATAAAACTTAGTTCGAATGAAAATTAAGATTTTGTCTTATCATTGATGTTGTTTTTTTCTAGTTTTAATAAGTGAAATTTAATCTAATATAATATAGGTTTTTCATTTTAGGTTTTAACTGAAAATCATAATTTATTACAACGGTTGAGTATTCAACACTCTAGCTTTAGAAAATTCAAACGGTTCGAATATGAATTGTGTACTTTTATTTTCTAAAAATTAAAGTTACATTTTCAATTCATAATAATATACGCCATATAGTAGTAGATACTATTTCTGAACATAAATGTTCACTTCGATGAATTTATTTTATTTTATACTTCATGAAGCATGATAATATAATCTTTTGTCTAGATCAGAGGATTTCAGCTGGCAGCTCGACTTGTTTTGACTCATTTGTGGCACGTGATTATACACATTAAGCATCGCATGTATTAAAAACTAATCATTGTGGTGATTTATGTCCGTGAGATGTTTTAAAAATAATTAGAGTCCAACTGCCTAAAAATATTAAAGAGTCTAGGTAGTGAAAATATTTCATGAACAGCGAATGTGAAACTCCATTACTCGCTTAACATTATTTTATTTTAAAGTACAAATTTCCAAAATCTCGAATGCGAGAATAATTGGATTTCATCGTACCCAGCTGATTTTTTCAACGATTTCAACAATTGCTCATGACTTATAACAATGTGCGACGGTGTGAACAAAATTTTACGGTTGAGTTTTTCAATGTATAGATTAAAATATTATCGACGATTTGAAATCATTACTGTAGTAATCCACTATACACAATATTTACGTACAGATGTAGTATTACGAAAATGTAGTATTTTGTATCACCACCGATCACTAATCTGACGTAATAATATTATATCAGGGTATTGTGGTATAGAGTACACATATTATCATTACATTATATAAAATTAAAGGTTGCAGAGAAGATGAACGCGCGATGGGTTAAATCGTGGTGGCAGCACGAAAACTTTCTCCTCTGCGCTATTCTGTTTCCAAACCGCGTTTAACCGGTACGCCGCGCGAGCGTTGTTGCACCGAACATTTCGTATAACTCTGAGGATTTATATAATATCAAGTTCCGTCGCTGTCGTTGATCCCGACTAACCAGCCGACTGGAAGGGGGAAAAAAACAAAAAAAAAAAGAAGGGGGAATTCCCGCGTGGTGGCGGGTGGTACGCGAACTAATCATAAACTTTCTCTACAAAACATATCTCTCTATCCTCACCCGCTTAGCTCACTCTCACTCAGCCTCTATACTCGTGTATATATATATATATATATATATATATATATATCTTTGAATCTCCAGGGAGGAGAAGTGTAGAAGTGGGATTGGTGGGAGGGTGACGCGATGCGAACGAGGAGTGGTGGCGTTTTGACGTCTGACAAACTCTCGTGAGTGTAAGTTTAACTATCCGTGCCAATTGGGCGTAAAGCGCTTTTTGTCATTAATTTTCCGAAGCACGGCCGTGGCATATGACCATATATATATATATTTGTGCATTATATCGTAACACCTTATCTCTCTCTAAATACTCTCTTTTACGCGCACACACACGCTCAATATGCGTACGTGTATAGCTATCGAAGGTTTAGTGGATGCGTGTATGTGCATTTACGATATATCGTCGTCGTCAACGACGACTTTTTGGCGTTTTAGGGTTTGCACTATGTGCGTACAATCAGAGATCATTAATTCTGTTCGTCCTTTCAGCGGTCTATCGTTTCGAACTGGCCCGCTACACGGAAGGTGAAAAACACACACGCACACGCATTCAAATATACATACATACAAAGTATAATGTCAACCCGCGAACGGGGTTGTAAATGATGGTGTACCATATTCCGTGAGCGGTTTACACCTGGTATTCGGATATTGTATGTATCATATCAAATTAATATAGCGGTTGTAATTAACGTACCATGAGCAGTTCTTATAAGTACTTCTCGTAGAACATGCGTATATTATTATGGCATAGTGTTCGAGGCTTACGCAGTTTGGTTCATTATACTATTATTATTTTAATGAAGTTATGTATGCGAAACGAAGAAAAAGAATAGTGTGCGTGCGCAATGAGGGAAACGTGTGGTACCTAGACCGAGGGGTGGTGAAGACGTAAGGGGCGAGTGGGTATTAGAGTGATGATGAGTGGCGACACACACTGTATAATAGTATGCGCGAGAGGTTATATTATAATAATATTACAGTTTTATGAGCCAAGAACAAAAAGAATACGAGGACCACGCGAGCACTTCAAGACACACGAACTATTTGAATGATATCATATATTATTATTACGTGCATAATAGTGAGAGGACGCCACGTGTGTGTGAGGGAAAGATAGAAACAGAAAGCATAACGCAAAGATGATATTCGACCTTTATACACCGGTCCCGCCCCTATCGCTTATTACTCTGTCCTTAGCTRTAATATTTATAAATGATTACCATATTATAATATAATATTAAATATATATGCGTACAATAACTCATACACCCGAAAGAGAGAGTAGAACTCTTAAGGGTTGAGCGGAACGATATTCGATCATTGTTTTACCCGTCACCTTTATATTATATTATACACCTGCAGAAACTTGATATTCACACACTCTCTCTTCCGCTCAACGTCAATAGTCTTTGCTTTTCCCCCCGCACACCTCTCTACAACCATCGGCAGATATAACTGTTTGGATTTTCGTTTCGTGACCTACAGCTTCAATCATCGGATGTATATATATATCGTTGTTAGCGCCGTATTGTTATTACCTATTGTAGTTATTGTTGTACGTGTGTCCGTCGCAGGTGCACTTGACGACGACTTTGCCCGTTTGGCGTTTCTCTCGGAAACACATTATACATACCAGCTTCATATATTTTAATTTCAAAAATTTTATAGGTTCATGTTAAATCTAATTAATTTTTGATTGTATCTACTATTTTATTATAATAATATTATTTGGTCAATAAATTCATTTTTTGAAATTAAAATGTTTCTAACATAAACTAGATTGTAATTTACTTAACAAAAATATTGGTATTTAAAAAAATGTAAAAAATCAGCCATTTGACTTAAATAAGTGTTTTTACCATATACATTTTTCTGAAAATGAGATATAAAAATTGGCTATATTGAATAATTCAAAAAACTTTTTTGTCAATTTTTAAGTTTTTTATTTTCAGTATTAAAAAATAATAAATAAAACATGTATTCTAAAAATGTAGCACAAGTGTCTATGAATTATATTCAAAAGAATTTTTTTTTAAATATTGATTAGAACAAAAGTTATTTCATTTGTCAGATTTCCGTGGTACCCTGTATATAGCTTATAATATCATTGGAACCACGTCAACGGCATTTTTTGTTTCCTTGAGTTTTTTTTTTGAAAAGCACGTAATATGCGAAGGTACGTAATTACAACAAAGGCGTAGTACATTTCGAAAAAAGGAATGCCGATAACATGTTTTTTATGTTTGTTTCCAATTCGTTAAAGCTATTGAGTGAAAAGAGGTAGACATGATATTTTATAGTCGATACTGATAATCAGTTAGTC